CCAATGCTCCTTCGGTTGTAGTCAATAAAAAAGCTGTGGCCGTGTTTTCACCAAAATTTAGCCTCTGTGTGTTTTCTTCCCGCTGTATCGCCCCTTATCGTCCCTGAACCTGCAAGAAAATTACTTAGCTTCTTGATCCACTGGTCCAACCATATGCCTTTTCAGACTATTCACTGTTCAGGCTCTCCCTAATGAACAAAAACAAGACTGCAGAAGAGTTTTTGATAGTGCTCCTTGTCTAATTACTTTAACATTCCTAAATAACCAATTTGTCTGCGCACAGCATATGTGCACGTAAAAATGTCTAAAGGCATTCATGCTTACTAATAAAAAATACTGCTTCCCCCCAAATGTATGAGGGTGATTGCTTTTAAATTTGGCATTTCATCGAAGACACTCCAGGTGTAAATGACACGTTTTGCAGATGTTAGAAAAATGACATAGGAAAGTCCAGAAGAGTTGTAAATACCACAGTGTCCTTATTAACAGACCACTGCAGGCCACAAGGAAGAAGAGAAGAATGACTAGAGGCAAATTTGGCTGGAAGTTGAATTAATGCAACAAGCATTTCATAAGTAATCCGTGCTGTGGGATTAATATGATCCATGCTGTCCCAAAGAGAAGGCCTTAAACATGGGGAAAATGAGAAGCAGTGCTGACAACCACATAGCTCCAGCTGACATACCATCGTTTTTACTATTAAAAATCTGACCAGGGAATGGCTTTGTTTTGCAAGCTCTTCTGACTTCATACACTTCCACACTATAGGTTTACTATGTACTTCTCAAGGCAGAATATCACATGCTCAGAACAACTGAAACACACGTGCACATACCCCTGGAAAAACAAGAAACTTTCCCAGGTACCCCCCCCCCCCCGTTTTGGTGCTGGTCACATGGGATGTAGTTTCACAGGTGTCACAAGCATTGTCTGGATAATCCCTTTGAAGTTATTAGTATAGAACAATACTAACGTCCACTTCTACATGCTATTTCCTTTTATGTACTTTCTTCTTCAGTTTTATTTTGTCTTTTTATTTTTTAATTGAATAAAACAAACCATTCTTCTTTGTTCCCTATGTTCTTCCTGTGTTTGGAACTAATGGAGTAGTTATTTTTAAAAAGATTTAAAACACTGAGCCCTGTCTGTCACTGTCTTTTTATTTTGAATCCCTGCTCTGCCTCTCTCCTGCATTGCACTGCATTGCAAACACCAATCCTCTTTTGCTTGTGGACATGAATGCCATTGTTGGTGAACTGAAGCCTGGGAGAGTGCCATGCAGAAAATAAAAACAGCCTTGTACGAGCGAGTCCGTTTGCACCATAAGGATCTATCGGTGCAAGATGATAACTCTCTCAACCACATTTTATTCCCAGTAGTAGCAGAGGGGCCTTTCAGCTTGTTTTTCAAGTCTGGCAGGGTTTTGTTTTGAGCTCACCAGACCAGATATACCGATGCAAAAGCAGGCTGTTCCGCTGCTGCTATGCCTCTTATTCTACTACACTGATCAACAGTGAGATCATATGCCAGTGATTTTGCCCAAGGCCAGTCGTTAAAGACCAACTCCTCAACCCCCTCTCCAATGGCATGTGAATAAGCCATAATCCAGTCTCCTTTCATGGAAGCCAGCAAGGCAAATTTGTATTACAAGATACTTTGTGGAGAAGAGCAGAGAGACAAGCTTGATGACATAGGGTGCCTTGGGTCATGGTAGCAGTGGAAACTAATTGGCAGTTTGAGGATTCCTTCCTAATAGGAAAAAGCAGGCAACATAGCAGAGCGAGCAGAAAAGATAAGTGAAACTACCTGTCACCATCGCAATAGACTGAATTATACCTCCAGATTTGTGAGGCCATAATACAGGCACTGCCAATTCTTGTACACACCCACCATCTCTGAGGGGAATCTTGGACTTTTGGGACGTCATTCATTAATCAAGAACAAAATGCATTTGACCTAACACTGGCCTCCTGAAACCAACTCTCTTCTTCCACCTCTCTTCATTTAGTGAAAATGAATGGCACTAATCTGTAAGCAAGCTGCTTCATGAGTTTTTACTGCCAAGACTACCTTGAACACAGCTACAACCTAAGGGATGCTACAGAATAAAACAATCTTCATGTTTGAATTACTGGACAGAATTGCTGTGGTCACAGCTGCTGTGCAGCTAAATATAGCACAGTCTCGTTCGGCAAAGGAGAGAGCATAGTTTCAGGTAGGCCTGGCAGGACAGGGTGCTTTTATAAGAGATGCAATAGACTGTTGACTCACCTGTTTGATACATCAGACCCAAGCACCTTTCGCTCACCCCTAAGCTCCTCAGACCCACTCCTAGTGTTATGTTCATTCATTAGAATACTCTAAATCAGGCATTTTGCATGTTACTGCACAGTTAAAATGCAAACTTAACTTGTACAGAAAGCCGGACATTAAATATTGCAACATGTGACTTGGTGATTGATTTGGGGGGCATTCCGGGGGTCAACGGGGACACCCCCAAGCCCCATCCCCAAGCTCTGATCCCAAGAGCAGCCACCCGCGGCCACCCCTTTTAAGGGTTTCAGCTGATCATTGGGGAGGGTCTTTTTGTGATCGGGGGGCTACAGCACACGGGGCTGATTTCCCAGTGGCAATTCACCACTTGGGATTCAGGCGTGTGTGCCACCACCCCACTCACTACGACTGGCGTGGCAGTGTGTGGGGCTGGCCACGTGCACGCTGGGACCCAGGCCAAGTAAAGCCCAATAAACAGGAGACATCCATGCAGCAGCTGCCTCTGGCCAAGGCTGCCAGGTGATCCATGGCGGGGCGATGCTGGGGGTTCAAGCCAGAGATCATTGACAAGCCATGCTACTCCCATGTGGCAGCAGTTGCCCCAGGCTAAAGGTCACCAGATTGTCTGATGTGGGAGTGGGCACTGCATGCACAAGGCTGCACATGTGGCAAAGGCCCCAGGCCATCCAGTGACCAGTATGGCTGGAGATCACTGGCACCGCCCCACATGAGGTGATAGCCACCTATGGCTGAAGGCCACCGGGTGTTCCATGGGGGAGGGAGGCGCGGACACCGAGTTGCATGCTTGGTGGCAGTACTAGGCCCCCAATGTGTGGAAGAAAATGCCAAAGAATGCTCCCCATGGGCCAAAGCACAGCTGTCGCATGGGTTTGTATGAATATGGTGGCAACACTGGTTGCCAGCAGGCCCCAGCAGAGGATCCTCTGCACACACACACAGACCCATGCAAACATTGATCCCTGGAGCTGCAGGCCAAGCAGAGAGGTGTGTAACCTCACCTTGGAACCCTGAGCCAGCGTGAATGTGGCTGCAGTGGTTCCCAACTTACCAGTGAGTCTGTCACTGAAGCAAACAGGTTCTGCTTAACTGTTGCAGATGAGGTTGTTCCACTGTGCTAAAACCACAATCAGAGTGGCTCTGCTCACCCCTCACCCCCTGGCCAGTAGCCTCCTGTTCCCTCCATCTGTCTGAGGTCCTCCTCTAGTCCATCGCACCAGTTACTCATGGGCCAGTTCCGGCTCCTGGACCTTATGTTTGACACCCCTGCTCTAAACCATCAGCCTTCCTAGCCAGTATCACCTCTATCTTGTCAGGATTCAGCTGCAGTTTGTTCTGCCTTGGCCACTTCACCAGAACTTGAAAGCACTGATTCAGAGTTGAGAGAGAGGTATGTGGAGGCTTGGATAATAAGATACAGATTTAGATGTCACCTGCATATTGATAGCATTGAACCCCAAGCTCCATGCTCTGTCATTCAGCAGCCTCATCTCAATACTGAAGAGCAATGGAAGCCTGAGGCACTCCACAAGACAGATCCCAGCCTGTTAATTTCACTCATCTGTTGGAAACTCTTTGTGGCTGATCAGACAAGAAAAAATAGAAGCTACTGAAGAGCTCCTCCTCTAACACCGACCCCATATTTCTAACTGATGAATAAGGATGGAGTCAACTGCATCAAAAAACCTGCTGACAGCTCTAACAATGGAGACACACAGTACAAGTTATCCCCAAAGGAGAAACTGTGTATGAAAATAATCACTAATTAGCACATTCAAAATATTCACAAATCACACCAAGTGAATGTTTTTTACAAATCTGCAAAATTGTATCCAATATTAAAGTGCATATAACCACAAAGTACAAAACCAAATGTGGGACTGATTAAAGATGCTGTATATATATATTAACTAGAAATAAGGCCCGTTGTGGAAATAAATACAACGAGATCTAGAAAGGGGCTCTGGGAGAATGCTCTGGCTTTGGGGAAACAGTGTCAATTTGCTGTGGCAACCTCAGCAGGGTATAATGACAGAGTCCACTGTTTTCTCCAGAGGGACTGATCTGTGCTACCTGAAGAGCAGTTGTAATTTTGAGTGATCTCTGGCCCTCACCTGGAGAGTGGCAACAATTGTTACCCAGGCTCCACCCCTCAAATCTCCAGGAATTTCCATCCCTAAAGCTGGCAACTTTACCTCCTCCCCTCTCAGCAGCCTCTTTCTAGCATGTGACTTGGTGATTGATTTGGGGGGCATTCCGGGGGTCAACGGGGACACCCCCAAGCCCCATCCCCAAGCTCTGATCCCAAGAGCAGCCACCCGTGGCCACCCCTCTCCCTCCTGAGAGATTTAAAGGGTTTCAGCTGATCGTTGGGGAGGGTCTTTTTGTGAGCGGGGGGCTACAGCACACGGGGCTGATTTCCCAGTGGCAATTCACCACTTGGGATTCAGGCGTGTGTGCCACCACCCCACTCACTACGACTGGCGTGGCAGTGTGTGGGGCTGGCCACGTGCACGCTGGGACCCAGGCCAAGTAAAGCCCAATAAACAGGAGACATCCATGCAGCAGCTGCCTCTGGCCAAGGCTGCCAGGTGATCCATGGCAGGGCGATGCTGGGGGTTCAAGCCAGAGATCATTGACAAGCCATGCTACTCCCATGTGGCAGCAGTTGCCCCAGGCTAAAGGTCACAAGATTGTCTGATGTGGGAGTGGGCACTGCATGCACAAGGCTGCACATGTGGCAAAGGCCCCAGGCCATCCAGTGACCAGTATGGCTGGAGATCACTTAAAAGTCCTGATCCAACTTAAAGTCCTTTAACATTTGCAGTCCAATATGAAAAACAAAATATTCAGAGGTATAAAGCTCAATGTGCAGAAGAGATGCTGATCTTATTCTGAAAGTGTCTGTATATCAATAATAAATATTTAACGTAAAAATGCTAACTTTTGCAAATCTCGTCCGGTGTACCAGAAGTGATTTTGTGCAAACTTCTTGTGCTTTGAATCAGCATTATTGCTTGCAAGGACTGCCTAGATCTTAGTGTCCTCGTACAAATGTTTTCAGTAGCTCAAGGTAGGAGTCATTCTCTGACCTCCGCAGTGAGTCTGTTGTATGTGCCTTTTTGAACGTTGGGGAGTTCTGTATAACTGCTGCCCACCATGATAGTTTTGCTGAACATGGAGTCTTCCTGAATGCATCCGTTTTCTAGAAGCGTCACCCCTCTGAATTCCTATAAATAAAACATAAAGAGAAGAATGATTGTTTATCAAGGCAACACTCAGTGTTTGTTCTTTCATATACAATGAAATATCTTAGTCAGAGCAAACTGTACACTGATTCGTCTTATCTCTAGTCCACTGAGAAGTTTGCGCAGATCAGAATAATACATTTTATCTACCCTACTCAGGGGTTTCTTAGCATTAAGATGCTTCCTCATAGTGAGGATTGTCTTTGTTGCTTTCACTGCTGCTGTGAAGGGAGAGGCATATGCGAGGCAATGGAGCTTCCACATGCAGGATTTTTCTGGGCATTTTCCTCCATTTCTCAAATCTTCCCTTCCACACATACTCTGTGGTGACTCCAGGTGAGTTGTACCACCTTTTTTGTCCCCCCCCCTCTTCTTCAAACATAACATTTCCATTAATAATTGAAATAGATAAATGGCAATAAGCCACAAAAAGCCTTTGAGTAGCATGGCGGGGGGGGGAACTGTTGGGAAATTTTCAGCTTCTGCATGGCAAAAATCTCTGTGCACTCCCTCTCTTTTCCTTCTCACCCACTCCTTTCCCCCAACTCCACACTGGGGGAGGGCTTTAAAAAATTCAGCACTAGGTTACAAAGAGCTCCTACTGGTTAAAAAAAACAGCAAAAAGCCTGCCAGTGACATGGGTGGCAGTGGTATGATGCGCCTGGGGAGGCTCAAAACTTCCCACCTTCCTGTCAACATGGTAGACAAAACTGTTTTGACGATGATCTCTTTGGAAAGGTCAAACCAAAGCAGGGTTTGGAAGGAATGGAACAAAGTGGGGGAAACCATGGAAGTGATCAGTTAAGGAACAACTGGAGGACATATCATGTACATGCTCTGAAAAACACTGCTACCACTTGAGATCCCAAATGGAGCAAAACACCCTTGTGGAAGGAAGCTATGAAAAAGGCCTTTTGGCTGCTCTCCAGGAGCCTTACTCTTTTCACAGTGAGGTCCTTCCCAGCCTTGGCATTGACACTGGTAGCTGCCATTTTCAGGAATGCATACGCCATTGTTCATGCAGGGATTGGGTTTGCAGAGGCTCGCTGGCCTCTTAGCCTCTGAAAGAGACAGAACACAAACAACTCAATAGTCCACACTGACTGTCAAGCTACAAGTTAAAACCAGCCTAACTCTTCCTAATGCTACAGAGATGGCCATTCGATTTAGTGTGGCAAAGCAGAAGTCTGTGGACATCTTTCCTTATTTGGCAGGAACTGCTTAGAGGAAAAAGGAAGCATTCAGTGCAAAGTCTGATTTTATTAGGGAAAACTGTAAGTCAAACAGGTATGTTTGATAAAGCCCACCAAAGTCTTTCATGGCTGTCCAGTCAGCTTTCAGTGGAGGGGAAGAGAGACTGACAGCCACAATTAAAGCATGGCTTAGACTGTTCTGGTATAATAGGGCTTCAGTTCTAATCAAACTTACTGAACTCAATGGTACTTCTGAGTATACACGGTTAGGATTACAATGACATTGAAACATTATCTTAGGTCTTATTCATATGACCAATCAGATCTTCCTCTAAGAACTTTCCATTTGAACGCATACAAAAAAAAATGTTTTCCAGTGTTATGTCAGGGAGTTCAGTGTGTTACTCTGTCATTTATAGCATACCACCTCAACCAGCAAATTTTTTTTTTATTCTGAAGCTCAGTACATTTCCTTCCTTCCTACACAGAGAGAGACATAGGTGGAGAAGATCTGACAATACATTACTTCACAAGCATTAAATAAATTGTTATAGCACATTCGTTTAAAGATCACCAGCTCATTCCCATGGGTTTCTGTTTTGTAAACAGAACACACTAACACTTAAAAAGATCAGCCAAGCCTGTAGTCTCAAATAATTACGTCAGCTTTATGGTATGTTACTGATCTGATGAACAGTATAGTTCACTGGGGCTGCGATCAGACGAGTTGTTTGATCCGATGTCATTGCTGTTCCCTTCCAGATTTAAAATGCATGATCAGACAGCAACATCTGTCTCCCATCCTCCAGTCCTTGGCACCCCATCCTCACCAGTCTTCGAGTTGGAGTTATTTGACACCAGGGAAAATCTGGTCCTTCTTGGTGTCAGCAGTATCACCCTTCATATCTCTCTCTCTCTCTCTCTCTCTCTCTCTCTCTGTCACACACACACACACACACACACACACACACACACACACACACAGAGAACCTTCAACTGTGTTTTCTTTTTTAAAAAACTTCCAAAGAAAGACACCACTGTATTTCAACTTTTTTCTGTGCTTTCCGGTACACAGGGTGGGGAAGGGGTTAATTAAAAATATAAGGTTTTTTCAGAGAGGGAGGGAGGGGGGCAGTCTGAGAACGATGCCTGTGACTCCAGTTTTGCACCAAGCTTTTAAATAAAAACACCAGCAGCACACAGGATGAGGCTTCTCTGTTCCCTCCCCCTGGCTTTGAAATGTTTGAAATGTTGAATTTTTCAAAAACACTTCCCCCATGCTACACTACAAATGCCAGCTGCCTCCTTCAGCAATCCCATTGGCCAATGGCTGCTGCAATCCTGCCAGGCATTTGAAGCACTGCTTCCAATAACCATTTATGTGCATCCTCAAAAGACAAATACCTTTTACAACTCTCCAACCACCCCACTCTGTGGCTGCTGTGCCTTATTGATCAACCACGGGGTGAATGTGCAGTGAGGCGGGGGTGGGGGGAGTCTGATCAAAACTCTCATTTACAAATTAGAGGCGGCACCAGACTGCGGTAAGATTGTCATCTGACCACAGCCTGGAATTTCTTTGCTCTTAGACACTTTCAGAAGATTTGAATAACTTGTAAGTGTTGCTAAAGTTGAAGAGAAATTGAAAGCTGAATTCTACTTCTCATCTTCAACAAAAACACATCCAACAACACATCCCGTTCATATTGTAGGAAGTAGCATCAGATGTTGCACCTTTAGCCCCCTGGCTTTGAAGAGATGGTCAGCAGAGAGAGTTTTTTTCCTGCCCTTCATATCAAGTAGCACTATTGGAACACACTCTTCCATCCAACCACTAGATATCGTCTGTCTGAAATTCCTCACACTCTTCCATCCAACCATTAAAGGACACCCATTCCCTTTTGCATGTGGCCACCCATCTCACATTTTTGGAGAGGCAAATTGATTAGGACAAGTTTCGAATTAAGTACTGATTAAGACAGGATGCAGGATCAAGTGCAACACCACCAACTACCCATGACATGTACTGCAATAATCAGATACCAACACACCCAGAGAGTTTTTTAAAAAATCTTACCATTACATAGTCTTGCAATGATAAGGTCTTCATTCTTTATGAGATCATTGTAAGAGGGAATCTGTAGCAGATTATTGTGAGAACCTGCAATCCTCAGCAGTGAGCTTGTTCGGACATGTCCTATCCCAATGACAAGCAGTGATATATCGTTGTTACGTAGCTGCTGGGCTGGAACTATGGCATCCTCGACTCCAGCCCCACTTGAGATCAATGCCACGATCTTCTTCACGCCAGGCCTTGCTCCTTTTTGGATGGTCATGACATCTTCAAAAATATGCAGCAAAGAGCTGCCAACAGAGGAAGAGCCACCCACAAAGGGAGCTTGGTTGATGGCTTCAAAGACAGCTGAATTCGTTATGTGTGTGTCCAAACCAAATGTGGTGTGGGGCCTTTTCCCATAAACAACAAGGCCTACCTGTGTCAGATCCCGATTGATATCAAACTGGAGCGAGAGGCTACTCACAAAGTTTTTTAGCTGTGCAAAGTTCTCTCTTCCAACTGATGCTGAGGAATCTAAAGTAAACACCAAATCCAGGGACTGAGATGAGCAACCTAAGAAGGGAGGGACAGACATCAGGGTTTCTAGAACACTGATCATTTAACAGAATAGATGGGGACAGGAGGCTCCTAAAGATTTCAAATGAAAGGGAAAATAATTTTGTAGCTCTGTACTCTGGCTCAGAGACAACAGATTTGGAAATCTAGTCAGCTTCAGTTCTGAATAAGTCCTGACTCCAGACTGGCAATAGTTGCTAAAGGAAGTTCTAGCATTATGTCAATGTTTTCCCCCCCTGAACAACAGATTGAACAAACATCATAGATTGTTTAGCAAATGTTTCACTGCAGACTATTAGACTTTGTGAACCTTGTTATGAAGTACTACTGTCTTTGCTCCTGAGTTCTATTACACATCTCCAAGAACACATCAGGAATACACATCCTACAACAGCCTATTCAAATAATATCACCAGCCAACAGCTGCTGCAGAAATACCGATGACTACCACATCCTTACCTTGGCTATCTATGCTGCAGATTTTTTTCTGGAGTTCAGGAATCTTGTTGAGTAGATCTTGTGGAGTTGAATAGATAATTGTCTGTTTTGGATTCCCTGTAACTTCATCTAGCTCTGCCCTCAAAAATTCACTGCCAATTGCAATGAGAGAAGTCACTAGCCCTCTGGCGTCCTCAGCTGCCTCCACCACTGAATCCTGAGCATTTGCATCTGTGAGCAAGACAACCACACGTGGGAGGTCATCGGGAACATCAGCAAAGACTGCTGCACTCCTAAATCCATTCTGTGTAATATACTGCAGAGCTTTGCCTGTCAAGGTGCTTCCTCCACTGAATTGCATGGAATCAATGCCCTTCACCAGACCGAGTACATCTGCATGGTCTCCAGTTCTGACAGCCACCATGACATCATTGCCATATTGGGCCACACTCACATTTCCTGAAATCTCTTTACGCCACACAGCTTGGAGAAATCTTTTCAGGAAAGCTTTATAACGCAAGAATCCTTCAAGGGTGGTGCTGGATGAACTGTCCACCAGAAAAAGAAGATCCACGCTGCATTCTAGACTCAGCTTAGGTGCTGGAAAAATTAAAGTATCCAAGAAGTTAAAAAAAAAACCACAGAAACAGATTAAAGTCTTTTGGTGCATTCTAGCCTATTCAAATCACTGAGGTTTTTCAAAAAATATGTTTCTCCTGCATGGAGTAGGAGAGGGAGCCAGGACAGACCCCAGCCATGGAACCTAGTGGGCTTGACAGGAAAGATTAATAGTGCAATTACATCTTCAATGATCCTTGCCCCAATTCATATAAACATGGGATATCTCTGGTTCAGTTGTTCACTTCTATTTATGGTCAAGAGAGCAGGGAAGGCAGAAAGCTAGTTGGAGCCTGCTGACTGTCTTGCTATGAATAGAATCCTGGGGCGCTAAATAACAAATGGTTCAGGCCCCAAGATGTATAATTAGAAATGAATTGGTTGATGCATATCTTGATAGAAATTCCCAGCAAAAATAGACTTGGTCCTCTATCATAAATCTCTTTTATGTAGAGAGCTAAGAATCTTCAGAAGAGACCTGTGAGTTTGGATACTGCAGTTTTAGCACTTCCTGTTCAAATGCTTTCAAAATTATTTCCCTTTTTGTTGCTCTTTAAGGGGTACAGCCTTTTTCTGGCATGGAGAATAAAGCAATGATGATTTGCAAAACAGGCAGTAAACATATCTTGAAATGATCTTTCTCAGGAATCTTTAAACCCTGTTCCTAAGTGTATTGACCCAGAAGCAAGTCCATTTGACATACCCTGAACTTACTTCCCAGCAAGTGTTTACTCTCCAGCAAGCCTTAGGCTGAAGCCTCATAACATGATCCTAAATATGTTTACTCAGAAATGAACCTCAGTTGGTTTAATATAACTTCCGCTTTAAAGCAAGAAATACAAAATAACCCTTCTCCCTCTTACTTAAAAATATTTGTTAGGATACTCAAACTTTGTCTTTCTCCCTTCTTCCCCATTATAAAACAAACAGGACACAGATACCCAGAGCTGTTGTAGGATTGAAGTGCTGGTACATAAGACCACACATACCACAATTGGCATCTCCTCCAAATCCTATTGGGCAAACACACTGGTAGCCTTCTAACCCCTGTTGAATGCATGTACCTCCATTCTGGCAAGGATGGGAACCACAAGGATCTATAAATCAGGAAACGGAAATAAAAGGGGATATGAGGTAAACATACTGCCAGTATTTCAAGTGTAAGCAGGGCTGAGCTCTAGGAGAACCGAGCAACACTTCATGATACATCTAATCAGAGTAGTACTTGATTTGATTTGTATCCAGCAGGAGCTGATCTTGCCACCTAGATAAGCAAAATAAAACTCTGGAAGAGGTCAGCTGCCCAGTTGCTTAAGATTAAAAATCACAATAACAGCAAAAGACTTTAAATTCTTCAGGTCCTAATCAAGTTACTGGGGAAAAGGGGAAAGCATTAACAAGCAATGGAGACTGCTTGTTTAATTATATTGATATGTATTCAATGCTGCAGATTCTTTGATGGAATGGCATTTCCATTTACAGAAGAAGGGGTGGAAATCTCTATAGATACCACCCTCCCACCACGGGACTCCTGTTTTGCCACCAACACTGTTCCTGAGAGTACCACTCATCTCAACTAGTTTGACCCTACTGAACTGAGAGTGTTTTGGGTCTTACTGTGGAGAAAAAGGATGTCCCATTGAAGGCGTATCACCTTAATTTTCCTGTTATTTTTCTTTTGAGTAACTTGTACATCTAATTAAGATTTACAATGACCATATCTTACCTGGGCACACGGTACGATAACATCTAGATGGATGCTTAATGAAAATGTCCCTCCACCTTAAAAAAACACAGTATAAAATATGAGGTAAAATGATATTTAAAGGCTACACAATGAAAACAGAAACCAGTAATTCAGATAAATATTATGGGTGGAATTCTGCAGATATGTGCTTTGGAATTAGGGCCTGGCCAAGGGTACCTCAACAAAGAGGTTTTTTCAACATTTCCCTACCACAAGCAGATTTGGGAGGGAGTCACACAACATAATTGTGTCGTCATCCACTTCCTTTTTCCCAGTCCTGCTCTGGCCAACTCT